ACATGCCCTCATGCACACACATGCACACACGCCCTCATGCACGCACACATGTCCCCCCCACTCATGCGCACACACTAAATGTGAAATCCTATTTTAAAGAAGTATTGCTGATGAGTGATTGGAGAATTTGGACCGAGGAGGGGAAGATGAAGCTGGTAAGGTACAGAGAGTCAGGAGTCAAGGAGACAAAAGATAATGGTGTTATTGGCTGCTACAGCTGAACACACAGTGGAACCGTTTGCTCCAAAACTGAAGAGACTAGGGGAGAGAGAGAGAGCAAAGAACAGGTTGCAGTGAGGAAAATATCCAAAGCTTTGCCTTTAAGAAAGAGGTAGGAGTGATAAATTATTCTTTTGTTTTGTTTTTCGAGACAGGATTTCTCTGTAGCTTTTGAGCCTGTCCTGGAACTCACTCTGTAAACCAGGCTGGCCTCGAGCTCACAGAGATCAACCTGCCTCTGTCTCCCAAGTGCTGGGATTAAAGGCGTGCTCCACCACTGCCCAGTATCTTTTGTTTTTTGAGACAGGATCTCACTTGACATCCAAGGCTGCCTTGGAATTTTATTGTGTAGCCACTGAACTCACGGCAAAGTCACCCGTGCCAGCCTTTTGGGTGCTACAGGCACGGGCATGAGCCAGTGCACCCAGAGTCTTGAAAGTTGTTTTCTGAAGTATAAAGAACTTCCACTCCTTATCCTTGTTCAGAAATAAGATGCAAGCTGTGTGCTGGGTGACACCAGCTGCTTGAGAGGCTGAGGCAGGAGGGTTCCAAGTTCAAGGCCACTTTGGGGACCATTGTAAGTTTCTGTCTCAAAAAAGAGAGGGCGGCTATACGTCAGTGGTAGCGTGTGTAGCAAGGGGAAAGCCCCGAGATACAGTTCATAGTACTGAAAATAAACATGAAAATTCAGTTGAAATCCCCCTGAATCCTAGCCTATGTTTGGTGTTACTTATTCCTGTCCACAAATATATATACACACACATGAATACACATATACATTATATACAAATGTGTACACATACACACACACATATAAGTGGTACATTTGATGTGTCTATAACTTGCTTTTCCCAGACAGCACTATTTTTTTTCAATATTTTTATTTATTTTTTATTTATTATGTATACAATATTCTGTCTGTGTGTATGCCTGATGGCCAGAAGAGGGCGCCAGACCTCTTTACGGATGGTTGTGAGCCACCATGTGGTTGCTGGGAATTGAACTCAGGACCTTTGGAAGAGCAGGCAAAGCTCTTAACCACTGAGCCATCTCTCCAGCCC